GGGAAAACGATTAAAAAAAATTGGGAATAAAAAACCTTTTTTCCCCCGGCCCAAACCCGGGAAAATTTTCCGGGTTTTAAAAAAAAAAAAAAAAGTTTGAAGTAAAAAAAATAAAAAAAAAAAAAAAAAAAGGATTTTCGGGGAAAAAGGGTTTTTTAAATTTTAAAACATGGGAAAAAAATTAAAAAAAAAAATTGGTTTGTTTTTTAAAAAATAAAATTTCAAAAATTTTTTCCCCAAAAGATTTTTTGAACTTTAATTTCAAAAAAAAGTTTTTGAGAACTTTCACTTTTACTTCACTACATTTACAAACTTAACTGCATACTTTTACTCCGATACATCTTCAATGTTTGGTTTAGTTACTAAGTAAAAAAACAAACAAACAAAAAACGAGCGAGAGAAACTGAAGTGTTTTGACCCCACCTACTGATTACAAAGTCTGGTCTTGCCTGGGTTCGTTCATCAACACCAATAGGATATGCCTGTTTCGCAAAGCCAGTCTATATTTATCCTACACTTGGTTGTTTATATTATTTTAAATGAATTTAACCTTCAAAGTTTACCAAAATGTAAAAAAATGTCATTCAAACTGCACTACTTTTTACTTATACTTTTCACTATATTACTTGAGTACATCTATTTTTACAGTAATTCTTATACTTAAGTAAAAGCCATTTCAGATACTTTAAGACTTTTACTCAAGTAACATTTCAGTCAGTGACTTGGACTTTTACCAAAGTCATATTTTGGAGAGGTACTTATACTTTTACTTGACTCCGAGATTTCAGTACTTTATACGACACTGCTCAAGATGACTTCAAGCCAGACAGCTGCAAATATAGCCAATAGGTTGACTGCAGACATTAACAAATGGGGGCTGACAAGAAAACACCCTGTAGTTGTTACGGACAACGCTGCAAATATAGTTTGTGCGGTGGAGATAATGCAGCTAATGCATGTCTGCTGTGTCACGTCTGCTCGCTCGAGTGACGCTTCACTTTTTCACTTTTCACAAACAAGTTTGCACTTTTGAGACAGTTTTGTTCACATCTCAAGTTTAAACTGTTTGATTTACAAGTTTGCACTTTGTGTTTAATATGACAGAAAAAAATAAAATCCATGAATATTTTGAAACGCAGTTGAACCACTTTCATTATTGTAAAAACCGATTGAATCTAAATTAATCGATTTAGAACTGTATGACTCAAAATCGAATCGATTCAAGACTTTGGCCTAAATACCCAGCCCTAGTTACGAATGCATTGAAAAGACAGAAAAAAAATGGTGGCCTTTCAGCACTAATGCATGAACTTACAGCATGCCTCCATGTTGTCTAAACTAAACAAATTAACTCCTCTAAGTCCAATTTTTGGATAATATTTTTTAGTAATGTATGTGACAAGTAAAACTTTATGCAATTCTAAAGTTAATGTTAATAAATGGGCCTCATAATTAAAGGATAAACATGTCAGTTCCCCACACTGCAAATGCCAAAAAACTGTTTTCAGTACACTTTGGTGATGTACATCAACAGTTCATGAAAGACCATCTCATAAGAAAATAAAATAAGAAAATAAGAACTTTTAAGCAATATGGAGAGATTTTTATTTTCAATAATCTGCAAGAATTTATTACAATATTTAGAGTGTGCAGTTCTAGACCGAGCACTAATTCAAAGACAATATAATTCCCCATCAGTTCCAGCTTTAATGAAAACAAGTAGAATTACTGCTGTTGAAATGTTTTTTTCTAAATCCACCAAGAAAAAGGCCTTTAACTGGTGAGTTTCTGATGTAAAGAGTTAAGGGAGTTTCTAGATGGACATTTCAACATGAGTCAGACATGGAAAAGGCCTCTCCTTTTTTTTTTTTTTTAAATACAATTAGTTCCACGTCATGTATGAAAAGCGTCCCTCTCATGAATTGTCATGTGTTTATTCAAATGACTTTTTTGGGGAAAACTTCTGTAACAAATGGTACAGGAGTACGGCTTCTCACCTGTGTGAATTCTGAGGTGTTCAGATAGATAATATTTCTTAAGAAATCCTTTTCCACAGGTCGGACATTTAAAATTCTTCTCAGCTGTGTGAGTCAACATGTGTCCTTTCCAAACATCTCTTCTTTTGAACATTTTCCCACAGGTCTTACAAGTAAAGCGTCTTTCATCTGTGTGAGATGTCATGTGCTGGGCCAAACTATTATTCTTAGAAAAACGTTTACCACAAATTGTACAGGGGAATGGTTTCTCACCTGTGTGAATTCTCATGTGACTATTAAGATAATATTTGAGAGCAAAGGTTTTTCCACAGTACACACATTCAAAAGACTTTTCAATTGAGTGATTTCTCATGTGTTTAAGCAATACAACTCTACTTTTGAAAATTTTCCCACAGATCTTACAGGGAAAAGCGTTCTCACCTAAATGAGCTCTCATGTGAGAATTCAAAAAAGATTTTTTGGTATAACCTTTTCCACAAATTGTACAAGTAAATGGCTTTTCTCCTGTGTGAACTCTAATGTGTTGTTGAAGATAAGCTTTCTCCATAAACCTTTTTCCACAGGACACACATTGAAAGGGCTTCTCAACTGTGTGAGAATTCATGTGTTCACTCAAGCGCATTTTTACAGTAAAACTCTTGCCACAAATCGTACAGGAGTACGGAGAGGAGAGCTGCTCTTTATCTGCACTTATAGGGAGCTCCATGGTTTCATCTTTTGTCCAGGGATGTTCTGGCTCTAGTTGCTCTTTTTTTATCTGTAAAGGTTCTTGTTCCTTTTGGCCTAAACTGGAATTCGGCTCCTGCTCATACAGGTGCTGGTCAGAAAAATCCTCCTCTTTCCCAGCATAATCCTGCAGGAAGTCTGGAAAGACAAACAAGTGGAAAGAAAGGAAACTTCACTTTTATCATCCATGTTTAGATTTAACGGCATACAACCACAATAGAACTACATCTCCCAGCATGCAGCACATCTGTGACATCATATCACAGGTAAAAACGGACTGGTCAATGTGTGCCGTCGCTGACAAGAGTTGAACCTCCACTTTTATCATTAAAGTTTTGGAATCTGTCTTCATTTTTGCCCGATGTATTCAAACATCCAACTGCCATGCATGTGGGTATTGTTAGTTTCACTATAGCTCTGGTGAATTTCAATGGTAAAGTCCTCTGGAAATCTTCAATAATTGTTGATGATTGCAGATGTGTCTAGTAGTTCCCATTGATTTTGCTTGTAAAGCGGGGAGAATGGCGCTAGGCTTACCGCACCGTGACGTCACTGCCGGAAGATGGCAGCAAGGAGGTGTCACTATATTTAGCAAAAATGATTGTGACAAAAAATATTGCTTTTATTTCTCTTAATTATCAATGCCAAATTCATTAAATCGCTGCAAACGTATTCGTTTTAGGTATTGATAATGATCCATTGATTATTCCTTCCTGAACGGACTTTTCCTTTAACTCCGGTTTCATACCGTATTCCTTCACCAATGGCATCGCCAGTACACCCTACTCTTCAGCGTCTAATGTGCTGATGAGTTTAGGGCCTTGCTGTAATTTACCTTTGGGATTATTAATGCATGTCTGATTCTGAAACAAATATATTATCTTATAACTTTAGAATAAACACACATATTGATCTCAGCAGGAAGGTGCAGCATTGCCTGGATATCAACCCTGCACAATTAGCAGAAACATATAGTCCCTAAGGGGAAATTTTGCTGCATTGACTTCCATTTTTATAACAAACGTGGCAAGGGGGTCTGACGTCTGTATATTTGTAGCTGTTTTGTGAGCCACGGTTACTACCATCCTTAAAGCTGCTTAGTGCCAGGGAAAGCGATACGGACTCCCTCTGACCGTGACAGAGGTGTCCTTCAACTACTTTAATGTCCGTTGGCAGTGCTGCTAATAAGATTAGATTTGAGAGCAAAGATTTTTCCACAACACACATTCAAAATACTTTTCAATTGAGTGATTTCTTATGTGTTTAAGCAATACAACTCTACTTTTGAAAATTTTCCCACAGATCTTACAGGGAAAAGCCTTCTTACCTGAGTGAGCTCTCATGTGAGAATTCAAAATAGCTTCTTTGGTATAACCTTTTCCACAAATTGTACAAGGAAATGGCTTTTTTCCTGTTTGAACTCTAATGTGTTGTTTAAAGGAATAGTACACCCAAAACATGATTAGCCTTCATTTTCTACTCACCCCCATGCTGAACAACACTCTGGAGTACTTTTTTGATATCTCAAATGCATCTGGAGATCTGGGAGGCTTCTTGCTGTCTGCTGACATTCAAATAATGGAGGTCTATGGTGACCGAGACAGAAAGGTCCATAAAAGTCCACAAAAAACGTGTCAATATTCCTCCATACTGCTCGTCCAATGTATTCCAAGTGTCCTGAGTGGGTAGCATCCAGAATTTACTCGAAACGAAGTCATTTAGAATGTTTTTAGAGCATAAACAGTAGTGTATAGGATTTCCTGAAAGCGCGTTCATGACGCTACGGAAGCCGGCAGACCAACCCAGACGAAAGTGCATAGAGAAAGAGCATAGAGTTTATGCTCTAAAAACATTCTAAATGACTTCGTTTCGAGTAAATTCTGGATGCTACCCACTCAGGACACTTGGAATACATTGGACGAGCAGTATGGAGGAATATTGACACGTTTTTTGTGGACTTTTATGGACCTTTCTGCCTCGGGCGCCACAGACCTCCATTATTTGAATGTCAGCAGACAGCAAGAAGCCTCCCAGATCTCCAGATGCATTTGAGATATCAAAAAAGTACTCCAGAGTGTTGTTCAGCATGGGGGTGAGTAGAAAATGAAGGCTAATCATGTTTTGGGTGTACTATTCCTTTAAGATAAGATTTCTTCATAAACCTTTTTTTAATGTCACACATTGAAAGGGCTTCTGTGTGAGATCTCATGTGGTCAGTCAAGTTTATTTTTAAAGTAAAACTCTTGCCACAAATCGTACAGGAGAACAGTTTCTCACCTGTGTGAATTCTAGCGTGATTTTCCAAATGAATTTCCTTTATAAAGCTTTTTCCACAGGATAGACATGGATACATCTTCAGACCTGTGGGACTTCTCATGTGAACCGTTAAATGTTTCATTTTCAGAAACCTTTCTTCACATGGAAAAAGTGGGAAAGGCTCCTCTTCTGAATCTTCAGTCTCCTGTTTCAGAACAAGCTGCTCTTTATCTGCACTTATAGGGAGCTCCATGGTTTCATCTTTTGTCCAGGGATGTTCTGGCTCTAGTTGCTCTTCTTTTATCTGTAAAGGTTCTTGTTCCTTTTGGCCCAAACTGGAAATCGGCTCCTGCTCATACAGGTGCTGGTCAGAAAAATCCTCCTCTTTCCCAGCATAATCCTGCAGGAAGTCTGGAAAGACAAACAAAGGGGAAAGAAAGGACACTTCACTTTTATCATCCGTGTTTAGATTTAACGGCATACAACCACAATAGAACTACATCTCCCAGCATGCAGAACATCTGTGACATCACATCACAAAGGACTGGTCAATGTGTGCCGTCGCTGAAGAGTTGAACCTCCACTTTTATCATTAAAGCTTTGGAATCTGTGTGAAAGGAGAATCTGCAGATTATTAACCAGTTAAGAAATGTTCAAATTACTTTTAAGATTATATTGTTTTAGATTCAAATATTCCTTATTATATAAATTTTGGTTTTGAAATTTGTTTTCGATTTCTTTAATTTTCCATTTAGAAATTCAATTCAATTCAGTTTATTTATATAGCGCCAAATTCACAACACATGTCATCTCAAGGCACTTTACAGTTCAACCAGATCATATAGTCAAATTGATACAAAGTTTTCTATCTAAGGAAAACCAGTTGATTGCATTGACTCATTGACTTAAATACAATCCCTCACACTAAGCATGCTTGTAGCGACAGTGGAGAGGAAAAACTCCCTTTTAACAGGAAGAAACCTCCAGCAGAACCAGGCTCAGTGTGAGCGGCCATCTGCCGAGGCCGACTGGGGTTCAAGGAGACAGAAGCAGAGATACAAAAAGCAGCTGTAAAAGGCGGCCCCGTCCAGGAAACACACAGCCAGGCAGACGAGCTCCGAGCCAGCTCCCATGCCAGAGGACGAAGAGAGCACATCCACTCAGTCACGGTCAGAGAAACAGGACCACACTGGAAAACAGGCCGATCTCCAACATCTATAAACAAGGGTGTTGATGGAAGCAGCACAACTGATGTTTCTTTCCAGGATGACGTCACAGCCAAACATCAACAGACGAGACAAAGCTACTATGAGAAAAAGCATAACCAGAGAGAGCAGAACGTTAGAGATTGAACTAACAGATTCTGCAGAATAGGAGAACAGAGAGAGAATGAAGCAGAATGATGAAATGGGGGTCCCTATGTCCTCCAAAAGTCTAAGCCTATAGCAGCATAACTATAGAGATAGCTCAGGATAACCTGAGCCACCCTAACTATAAGCTTTATCAAAAAGGAAAGTTTTAAGCCTAGCCTTAAAAGTAGACAGGGTGTCTGCCTCACGGACTAAAACTGGTAGTTGGTTCCACAGGAGAGGAGCCTGATAACTAAAAGATCTGCCTCCCATTCTACTTTTAGAAATTCTAGGAAGCACTAGTAAACCTGCAGATTGAGAGCGAAGTGCTCTGTTATGAACATAAGGAACAATCAGATCTCTGATATCAGATGGAGCTTGGCCATTTAAGGCTTTATATGTGAGAAGGAGGATTTTAAATTCTATTCTGGATTTAACAGGAAGCCAATGAAGAGAAGCCAGGATAGGAGAGATATGATCTCTCTTTTTCATTTTCATCAGAACTCTGGCTGCAGCATTTTGGATCAGCGGAAGGCTTTTAACTACAGTTTGTGGACTTCCTGATAGTAAAGAATTACAATAGTCCAGCCATATTTAATCACTATAATGGGATGGGAAGTCCAGCCATATATAACACATAAGATATCAGCTCAGGTGAGTATCAAACTGGTCTGTATTGCCCTTTTATACTGTACAAACCAATAAGAAACTGATCCCATTTCTAAATTCATGGATGCAACTATTTTTTTTTTTTTTTTTTGTAGATATCTTGTCAGCCTTTTTTTCCCATTGACTTTTCTTTGCATTATATATATATATATATATATAAATATAAAACATTCATGAACATGTATCTATGTTTTCAGCAAAATATTTACATCAAATCATAATGTATAATTGTTAATCACACTACAATATCAAAATACACAGAACCACGTTAGAAAAGCTGTATTTATAAGGTTTGTTATTCAGCGCATTTCAATTGATTAAATACGCTGATACTTAATTGATCCTGCCATCTGGAATTGCAGTCTGGAGTGGAGTGGGCGACCGCTCCAAGATGGCGGCACCGGGTCTCACCAGAGCCAACAGACGATAGGCCAATGCGGGGTCTATTTATATGGTTTACATGTCAATGTCTCCTCTAATCAGTTTTCCAAAGACGGTGCTAAAAGTCATTCTCCATGAACAGGAAAACGTCTCTGTCACGCGCTTCTTACCTATCGGGTTTATGCTGATCTGAGGGAAATCCGACCGTCTGTCCCCATCATCCATCTCTTCTTCGGAATGTGCTTTTCTCTCTTTAAACTCTGTGAATGTTTCTTCGGTAGGAGTTAACTGCTCGTTTATAAAGTCGTCTTGAAGCTGGACTCAAGTAGATATGTTCAGCTGGACTCAATCTGCACACAGCTTGGAAAACCGGAAGTGTCGCTTAGCATTGTGAGCGTAGCCTCCTTGACGTTGCCGCTGAAAGCGGAACGTCGTTACGTCACAAGTCGTGTCACGCTCACCGGAAATTCAAACACTCTGGGCGTTTCAATACTACCCCCTTACAGTAGGTGGCGGTATGCACTTAAAGGTTTAGGCTGCAATCTGCCATTAAATAAAAATATATATATATATAATTAAAAACAAAAAAATAATACTACTCCCTGCATTATTGGTTAATGATATGTTTAAAGAAGTAGAGAGTGGAATGGGTTTATCATTATTTGGTGATGATGGAGCAATGTGGAAAAGAGGAAGAAATGTAGACTTATTGTAAAGAAACGTCAGGGAGTAATTTCAGTTGTACAAAAATGGTCATATAAATGTGGTTTAAATTTTATGTAGAGAAAACTAAAATAATGTTTTTTACAAGGAAAAGAGTTGATACATTAACTTAAAACAAAATTTGGAAAGAGTTAAACAGTTAAATTTTTTTGAGATGTGGTTTGACGAAAGATTTTCATGGGTATGCACATTAAGAAAATAATCGATGAATGTAGGAAGGTATTAAATATAATGATGTGTTTAGTTGGAACGGAGTGGGGACCTGATAGAAAAGCCTTAAAAGCAATTTATATTGGATTAATCAGGTCAGTATTGGACTATGGAGGTATAGTTTATAACTCAGAAGCAGATACAAACCTCCATAAGTTAGATATTATTCAACATCAGACTTTAAGAATGTTTACTGGTGCTTTTAAAACATCTTCAACAGCAGCATTACAGGTTGAAATGGGAGGAATGCCTCTTAAATTTAGAAGAGATCAATTATATTTTAACTACTGGTCAATATTTCAGGGACAAAGGAATGATCATCCAACATTAGAGGTGCTTAAACCTGGATGGGAAAAGAAAATAAAAAATTAAAGAGCTTTTGATGGGTAATAAACACTACAGTTAATGAACTTCATTTAAATCAGTTAAAAATATGTCAGACGGTTCCATTAACTGCTATAGCACCTTAGATACTTCCTGATGCTGAAGTCGATCTTTCATTATTAGAAAAGAAGAACAAGAATGAATTTCAATTTATGAATAAATATATAGTACAAGAATATACATATAGTACAAGTTCAATGGTTGGAAGATGTAAGACAATTAAAATCTATCATTTGTTCAGATTCTAGTTCATCATTAGTCAGTTTGTAAAATAATCAGTCAGAGTAGGCCACATATATTAATTGAAATACAACAAACACTTTACAGAATAAATATAATGGGGCTAGTAGTAAATCTTGTTGGGGTTCCACCACATAGGGAGATTAAGGGAAATGAAATGGCAGACAGGATGGCTATGGAGAGTACAAATAAGGTAAGGATAGATATTAATGTTAGTTTTAGTATTACAGAAATAAAGAGTATAATTTAACAAAAAAACAAAAGAGAGGTGGCAAAAGTTATAGGAAGAAGAAAAGAAAGGAAGGTGGTTCTATAAAATCCAACAGAGAATTGGACAAATGAGAAGAACAAAAAGGAACAAAAGATTCATGACTTAGAATAGGACACACAGGATTAAATTATTTTTAATAGGGAAACATCAGACAGGGAAATGTGGGGAAGATGAGACGGTGGAACATGTTATTTTGAGTTGTAGGAAATATTTGGTTCAGAGAAGTTAATTAGGAAACTCAGTAATATGAAAATCAAACTAGACATTGTTGATTTACTGCAAAAGGAATCAGGAAGCAGAGGATATTAGGGTAATATTTAAATTTTGAAACAGATTAAATTGTATAACAGGAATTTTTTTGTTTTTTGTTTTCATGCTATGTGGTCCACACTCCTTACCAGTGGTAGCGGTAATGCTTACCTAACGTTTTTGCCAACTGGAACAAAATTTCCACAAGAAGAACAATACTTCTCCCTGCATCAATCTTTTTTTTAGAATAATCTTTATTCAGATATTGATTGGGAACATACATGGTTGTTGTGAAGTGCTGGAGGTGACCCTTAAAACTGTACACAGGTGTTACCCTGTTAATACGAAATTGAATAAATATTTTCCAAATATTCATCCTCGCTGTTCCTTTTGTCACATCGAACAAGAAACATTAACACACCTCTTTTGGGAATGCTCTTTCAACAAAATGTTTTGGAGTAACTTCAACATTTTCTTTACTCTGAAATTTGATATACTTATTCCTTTAAATGTCAAACATGTTTTCTTTGGTATTCCCAACAACAGCATGTTTGGGAAAGAACATCTTATAAACTTTTTATTTTGTTGGCGAACTTCCACATACATACCTGTAAATTTGCTAAAAACAAACCCAACCTCACTGTTTTTATGGCTTATGTAAGATGTTTTTTGGAATCCTTACAAATGTGCACCAACTCTAAAGCAGATTCCAGCTTCCAAAAACATACAATTCAGTTATAGAGATGATCCCTTCCAGGTATCAGTACAACCGCCCAGTACAGAATCCAAGCAATACAAGGCCTTGTCTACATAAAGCCTCAAACTCAATGCGGATCCAGACATTTTAATTGAGAAAGCTTTCTGGAGAGGTGGCGAAACATCTTTAAAACCTTGGAAACCAAGTTCAGTGGATTGTTTTTTAAACTTTTACGGAAAACCTAACCACACTAATACATCCAAAATAGATCTTTTGGATTATTTCTTGTGTTAGTTCAGGACTGCTCCATATCTGCCACACCCCTTACTGATCACTCTGCCATAAAAAAATTTGTTAAAACATCCAATGACATCCCAAAAAAACGAAGGTTACTGTAAATGTTATTCTACTTCAATCAAATCAGAATATGTCTGTACTCAAATCAAATCCATAATTACAGCTCTAATGTTGGATTTTTTTAATCCCACAGAGTCCTGGATGAAAGTCGTGCGCCTTTACCAGTCAGTCAAAATGTGGCCAAGTAGTCAGGCAGCAATTATTAATGTTATCCCTTAATTAAATTATATTTATCTAAAGAAAGGTAGGAAGCTTTTATGAGATCCAGGTCTAAGTGGAAAAAGGAGGAGAAAAGGAGCTTGCTTTATTTTTGTCATATATCAATGTGCTGATTAGCTTGAAATAACAAAAGAAATAGGATATTTGTATTCCAAACTTTATTTTCTAAAAACCCTTCTCCTTAAAACACAAAGCCCTTTGAGGAAATACAACTTCTAATTCCCCGTATTGACAGTGACTTCTCTGAGCTGTGATGCAAATATTACTAAACTTGAAACCTGCAGAAAGTTTATCTTTGAAAAAATCCCCCGTCTGTGTCGGCCTTACAGCTGACTTTTATAAATATTTTTGGGATATTGTTAGAGAACCCTTTTTTCTTATGATTACAGAAGCAATAAATAATCTCTCCATCACAATTAAAATGAGGCAGTTTATACCCTTATTCCCAAGCCTGGGAAAGAGCAAAGTATTTTAGACAATTTAAGACCAAATACAGTTGTAAATTCTGATAATATAATATTTACTTTGGTTTTTGGAAACAGACTAAAACAAACTTGCATTAAATGATCAGAAAAGAGATTATCAGAAAAGAGAATCGGGTTTCAAAAGGAAGATCTGTTCAAAATAAATTTTTTTTGAGGAGGTTCTCGAATATAGTTACATAGAATGTCCTGTACAGGTCATGTTATTGTGAATAGGTCAATTTAATAAAAAACATCCAATTTGTACAAGAATTTCTCTATTATAGTTCTCTATTATAGTTAACTTAAAGAATAAATCCCTTCATTCTCTTTTTGGAATAGCATTAGGCCTTTGATTCTATTGATCATCCTTTCAGATTTCATAGCTGTAAATATTTTGGATTTTGAGCCTACTTTCAGAATATCATAAACTGTTTATATAATAATACAACTTCTTCAGGATCACTGCCAGGTGGAACTCCTCAGTTCTGTATTTAACATGCATTAAAGGAATAGTACACCCAAAACATGATTAGCCTTCATTTTCTACTCACCCCCATGCTGAACAACACTCTGGAGTACTTTTTTGATATCTCAAATGCATCTGGAGATCTGGGAGGCTTCTTGCTGTCTGCTGATATTCAAATAATGGAGGTCTATGGCGCCCGAGGCAGAAAGGTCCATAAAAGTCCACAAAAAACGTGTCAATATTCCTCCATACTGCTCGTCCAATGTATTCCAAGTGTCCTAAGTGGGTAGCGTCCACAATTTACTCGAAACAAAGTCATTTAGAATGTTTTTAGAGCATAAACAGTAGTGTATAGGATTTCCTAAAAGCGCGTTCACGAGTCTACGGAAACCGCGGCAGACCAAACCAGACGAAAGTGCGCATTCAGCGTCTGCTCTGCCGATAATGCAAGCGTAGAAGAAGAAATGTGCTGTTTACCTGTGCAAAGAAAGAAACAACGAAAGAAAAATGTCTGAGGACTTCAGTGTTGAGGAAGAGCATGAGTTCTTTGCCGAGCTGAATGCGCACCAGTTCCGGTTCACCAGACTTCTGGATACTTCCCAGCTGAGAATCTCCTGTATTATCTCTCTCTGAGTTTTTGTCACATTCAATAAATTGTTAACTTTTCTCATGCCTCTGAGTACTTTTCTACATGTGGGCAAGACTTTTGAAACCCAACATGACAATAAAGGGTAATTTCATACAGCAGTAAACTTTTTTTTCTTGACTAAATTGCCAGGGCTCAGAGCAGCGGACCCAGAATTTAAGGCAGACAGACAGATTTCTCAAAAAGCATTTCCTTACAAATAACGGGTCAGCAGTGAGCAGCTAGGGGTCTACGGATGAAACCTCTGCAGGAAGGAAACACAGCTAAAGTAAGTGACCATGTTAATCTGGCGAATGATGATTATCAACATGTGAGTCACTAATCTGGTCTTAAACTTCAGTTCGGGCCCAGAGGTAGACGTGGAATCCAAATTGAAAGCCGCCAACAATACATGGAAAAAGCTGCCCAGAGAGTTCCAGACACTGAAGCCTTGAAGACTGCAGAACTAGCAGGAATTCAGATCCGAGCAGTTGAAGGAACG